CTATTGGATTAAATATGAAATCTCTAACGATTGTAAGTAAACTTGAGCAATTATCGCTTGCTCACTTGTTAACCAAATTATTAAATCACTAACACTTTGTTTGAATCCAGCATTCAATATGATATTGGAAAAATAGTTAGAAATTGGAAGAACACGACAAAGAATTTAGAAAAATTGAAAACACGGTAAAGAATTCAATGACATAAAAAACTAAATTGAAGGAAGGTGGTTCTTCTAATGCGCACATAAACTTTATATTGATTAACTTAATATGATATCATTTAAAGATTCATTAAACTTTTTTTCCAACAGTATTGACAAAACAGTTGGAATTTGGATTCATCAAACCATACTACTTTATTCCATCTATGGTTCAGTCATTATTTTTTTTTAACCAAACTTTAATTGCATTTTTTTTGAGAGTTTTGGATAAATATGGCTTTCCCCCCTTTACTTTCGACTTGAACCATTTCTCTCAAGTATCCTTCTAAATGTATTTCACACATGCTAATTTTTTATTTTATTAAAAAATATGCAAAAAACACAAGGAACCGGTAGTGTAGGAACACGTTGGGTAAGTACCGCCGGAAGAGGAAATTTTGAAAAAATACTTTTGAGCCGAATTAAACCTCTTCGGTAGGGATGTTAACGGTTAGATTGATTGGACTGGACCGCGATCTGGACCGTGGACTGAGTCGGTCTGGTCTTAAGTATCAAAGACCGTTTGGGCTGTTGATTTTTTTTTATCATAAAAGTATTTATTTCATTTATTTGTTAAAAATATTATTTTATTATCTCATAATCCAATTCCAAATTTATTAATACATCCAAAAAAAAAAGAATGTATACAGTTTTATATAAATCAAAATCCATTAATTGTTTCTATGAATTCTTATTTCATCCGATACAAATTTTTCGAAATATTCGTTTTATTCGAATTATTATTTTTATCTGTTCTATTCGAATCATTATATCTCCGTGATCATGTTTATCACTCCGTAAATGTTCAGTTTATTTCATAAAAGCAAGCAATCAGTTGAGTAAGCAATCCGGGTTTTTCCGTGATGTCATTTATATTAATATAAGGACATCTGTAAATGTGGAATTAAAACAGAATGTGAGAATAAGATTTTATAGCTCTGAAATATTATCAAGTAACTGATAAACTCGCAAATAAAAATGTGCA